GTTTATTATGAATAATTCAACGAAATCAAATAAATTAATAATAATTTATTGTTATTAATAATAAAAGTCTAGCACAAGGTGACTACGCTCCGAAATAATTTAAAAATGTTACTGTAAATTTTTTTGATATAGTAGGAATTTTGATGCAGTCGGGATTTTGATATAGTCGGGATTATGGTTGTCGAGATTATGATACAGTCGGGATTATGGTTGTTGAGATTTTGATATAGTCGGGATTTCGAACGTCTGGATTTCAATAGACGGTCTTTCGTTTGTCGAGCTTGCGATATAGACCCTTAAAATTTATATAATCGTCACTGTCTTTAACGGTCAAGTTTGTTGATTCTGGGTGTGTCAGCAGGCGTACCGTTTCCAAGAGAATCAAGTTTATGAGTTGACCTGCGTACTTAAACAAAATGGACGTTTCATTCCCATTTCCAAATCATTTATCATCAATAACATAAATAAAGACATAAAAATAAATAAATCATTGATTTATTACACATTAGCTTCATTTGATGAATGATTATAAAAAAAGTAATATTATTGCAGAACAATTCATATATAGGCAACTAACTATACACCTAGTATTACCAACGAATGTTACTTAATACAACAATACTTCGCATAGTGCTTCGATCAGTCCGGATTCACTATAGTTCGTTATAGAAATTTCAAAGATACTATATTTGAATTGAGAAAAATATTAAATAAATTCTATAAAAATAATAGTTCGCAAAATGTTGTTAAGTTACAAAAACTTAACAATATTGTAGGAATTTCGATTAGTCCGGTTTCAAGTAATCCGGGATATTGGTGGATCAGATTACCCGCACTATGCGATACAAAATTAATTGTACGAAAAATGACTCGCTTAACGAGCGACGTTTCGCATAACGAGTGACGATGAGAAGAGAAGTCGCGAATTGCGCGCTTGCATCATTTTTAAAACTTGTGTACACATATTATGTGTATTTTTGAATATGTTTCACTATACGAGTAAAAATTCGGAAATTTTGTAACGGATTAAAGTCGTTAAGCGAGGTTCCACTGAAATTGTTTTATTATTTTTTAAATTATAAATAATAGATGGCGCCATTCTCAACATTCTGTTACCAACCAATGTATAGTCATAACAGTTTGCTGCATTATTTCCATATTCAATTCAGCGCCATCTCCAAGATTATTTTAGAAAACTTATAATTCAATTACTTTGGCGCTGTTTCCATTTATAGTTCATAATTAAAGCTTTAATGCAGTGTTCTTCAACCTGTGCACTCAGCTGTAGTACACGCAATTTAGATATGCCTAGTAGGGAATAATATTCTAGAAAATGTACAGAAAAGAAAAATTACCATTTAATTTGGTTAGTAATTCAATTTACGAAGTTGTTTGATCAAATATTGGATCTAAAAATTTCTGGCCCCACAGGTGTCGGCAATATTTTTGGAGAAAAAGATCCATTTTGAAGAAAATAAGTCTATGAAGACATTAGGATTGTAATTATTTCTTTTGAAAAGCTACCAGCCTACGTTCTAAGACCTACAATTTCTTATTATAAGAGCCGTATGCGGTTTCGGAGCCGCGGGTTGCCGACCCATGTTTTTAACCAATAGTTAAAATTATGATCTACACTTATTTTACTTTGGATTTCTTTGAAAAATAATTTATTTAATAATCTTTTAAAAATTTCGTGGTACACCGATTAAATTTCTTGAAAATCTCTGACATTAATTATGTTAACCAATTCATACAGAGTTAATTGATAATAATTAATAGATGGAAATGTTACAAATTAACAACAACAACAAATCAAATTTTTATGATATATCAAAGCTTCATTATCAAATGGTATTTTATATTCTTTATATAATTCTTTCTACTTCGTCTTCAAGGCTTTATTTATGTTTGTAACAAAATAAAAACATAATTAATTGCATACAATTATTAATATTTTTACAATGTCTTGTTTGTTTTAATTGCTACTACTTTAATGAATGTTTTCAATATCATAGAATTTGCCTTAGGTGTGTAGTTTTCAGTTTTAATAATTGTGTTTTCGAAATTATCTGAACCGGCTTCCACAATGTTAAAATGAGTTCCAAGTAGTAAACAGATTAATTATTTTATACTATCATTAAATATAGCCTGCTCTCAAATATTTGTAATTACGAGATAAACGTGATGAGTTCAAGCTAATTCGTGGTACAGGTGGAACTACCGAAGCAGTACTTTATGATTACGCAATCGCCTGGTTTTACTTGTATATATGGATATTACATCACGAAAAAGACATTACAGCTACACTTTGTTTTGTACTCTTCTATTGTTTTAAGAAGTTCTTGGCCTTGTCGTGTATGTTTTATACAATTACCTTAACAGATTTTCAATTTAACTGATTCAACGAAATTATTCATATAAAGAATACTCACTGAAAGGATTCAATTATATTCTACAAACTTTACATGTGTTGTATTCAATTTTGGTGGAACGTGATCATTATTAATGTTGCGTAATAGTAAAGTAGATTTGAGTACTGTTTTGTTTACTGCAACTGTAGTAATTTCAAGGTAAACTACAAGGGCAATTTGGTGGCTCTGCTGTGCATAACGAAGTAGTCATACAAGTACTTACATAATTGATTACTTGTATAAATCTATGAAGTCAATGATCTTTTATAATAAATTATGAATTAAATATTTTCGTGATCAATTTATTTATTTGATAATAATACAATTTTATTATATATTTCATTATTGATACAATATTTATAGGGTTTGGAGAAATATTTCTAAATTTTTATAAGATATCTTTTCTCAGAAATTTCATCACTTTGTTATAATTTTCCATTGAACTGTTCTGAATGCATTTAAAAGTCAATTTAATATTTATAAAAATCAATAAAAATATACAACTTTTATAAAAATATAGATTTTAAATCTCTAAATAACAATTTAAATCTCAATTTAACTTTATTTATTTATTGTTAGTATTCAAATAAATTGGGTTGGCAAGAAAAAAACTTTAGTTTTCACAATTAGATAGTTACAAATATGTTAGTTTTGAAGGATTTCTGTCAATGTTATAATATTTAAAAGATGTCACTTTTAGCTTCTTTTCTGATAGTTTGCAATTTTAACAGAAGTGCAGAATTGAACATTTTCGACATATTTCATATTCTAATTTCTGTAAAGGCAAGAAAGCTGCTGAGACTCACTAAGAGATATGTGAAGTTTATAATGTTGATTGATTAACATGCACGTGTCAGAATTGGTTTAGAAAAATCCATTTTGGAAATCCATGTTAATAACGTTCTAATCTGACTTACTGAAGTTTGTTATTAAATTAAATTAAAGTCATAATAACTGGGCAAGAGATTGCAGATAGGTTAAATGTATCACAGGCAACTACTGAAATTAATAAAATGTGTTATTGAAAAAAGATTTGCTCAATATTTGCAATATTCATCTCAATCGCAATGAAATCGTCACTTTCTTTAAACAAATCATCACTTCCGGATTTTTACTCGTATAGTGAAACATATTGAAACATACACATAATATGTGTACACAAGTTTCAAAAATGATGTAGCAGTCGCGCAATCCGGGACTTCTCTTCTCATCGTCACTCGTTATACAAAACGTCGCTCGTTAAGCGAGTCATTTTTCTTACAATTAATTTTGCTCGTTAAGCGAAATCATCGTTATGCGAGGTGCTCGTTAAGCGAGTTTCCACTGTATTAATGTTTCTACCGCTCCCTAGATCTCTGTAGCACCTACTTTGGGAATCACTGGTCTACATATCAATCGACAATGATGATGATCAATGCATGATGTACTAGCACAAACCACAAATCAAAAGCTGTACATCATGCTATCAAAGGAACCAAATGATCAATTCAAGTGTTTACTGTAAACAACTAATAAAACTATAGGAAGCAATCAAAGAAAAATGGCTTAATTGGGAAGTAATGTCTGATATTAAACCAAAAACTTTTTTAATAGTCTTTCACTAATTAAGATGACTTGAAATCACACTTGTCTAGTTTTTAGCTGATAAGCGCCAGAATTTTTATGAGCTCGGACTAATGAAGTTGCCGGAAAGATGACAAAAGGTCATCGGACAAAATGGAAAATATATAATTGATTAAAGTTCATTATTTCTATACAAAGAAAGAATTTTAATTCACACTAAAAATAACTTTACAATTTAAAAAAATAATTATTTATGATAGTATTCGGTCATAAATATGACTATATTACAATTTTATTCACTGGATATTATTAATAAACTACATTAGTTAATAAATTATGGAAACATTTTTAGTTAAATTCTTTTTTAATTTTCATTTAATTTATATGTAAAACTTAATTAAAACAATATTAATACAATAATAAAATTGGAGAAATAACTACAGATAAAAAGAGTGAAATAAAAACATTTCATATACAAAGAATATTATTTTATATTTATTCTAAATATTATTTTAATATAAGCATAGTTCTGTTGAAGCTATGTTATTTCTTTTGTGTTGACACTTTTTTTTTGTTTGGAAATATCGAATTTAGATAAACTCAATGACACCTTTCGATTTTGAACTGCATTTGAACAGATGAATTGGGTCACAAGAGATCTGGATTGGTTTTGCCCGGTTTCGAAAACGGTCTTCGGATGAATCCTTGATGGTTTCCAAAAAGAAACAAAAAAAAAAATAAATGACAAGAATCGAGAAATACAGATGTTGTTCTCAAGGTTAACCATCATCGTTTAATTATCGCCGGTCTACGATGTGAATTTTTTGATAAAACTTGACCTTTCGGCTAAAATGACAATCCGAAGAGACGCCAAAAATAAAAAATAACGAGTAGAGGAATCAAGAGTTCGAAGAAGAGAAAAGTTTAGTTGAACGATACACTACGCAGGTCAGGACTCCGATGATGACCAATTTTCGGGGTGGGAGTTTTTATTTTCCTGCTGCAGTGATAATAACAAAAATTTTGTTGTGAAGAGAGTCCAGTCTGGTCGGCATTCAAGCAGTGGCGACGGCGGCGCGCACGACTACATAACTGCTCTCTCTCTGTTCCAAGGATTTCGAGTTTTTTTTTTGTATATATATTTATACCATATTTTTCTTGGATCCATCATATTTGGTAGCATCAGGACATCTTTGTTCAGGTAAGCAGCAGCAACTTTTTTTTTTAACCATGTATTCAAACGCTATCATCAAAAACACATTTTCCAGTCAAAGTTCACGCTCTTCTGATCATCAATTGCTATCACAATAAATTATATAATAATAAAAGTGTACCAGCTCATACAGTTTTGGGAATAACAATAATTTATAAAATATGTTGTTACTATTATGTTTACATTCGATTCATGGACAAATTTCAATTTGATGTTTCCGCGATTTCTTTCCTCATACAAATCGTATACTCAATTAATATTATATTACTTCTAAATTGCTTTTTTTAACCATTCCGAATTCATTTATATCAGTACAATATATTTAATTACTTTTTGCTTCAATATTATTTTCCAAATAAATTTGTATTAATCAAATACAAATTTTAATGAAATTATCAACAATTTTCAAAAAAATAATTAAAATATTTGTAATTTCAAATATAACTTTCCATAAATCTAGTTTCAAGAACTTTTTTTTGGTAGTTTTGCGAAAAGTCTTCAAATTTTTACAGGAATAATTAGAAAGTTTTGTTTCTGGAGTTTTTCTAAGTAAATTTCACTTTCTTCGGGTAATTTCGAATTATTGGATTATGGCCCTAAATTTTTCCGTTTCAGTAAATATTTCTTCTATTGAATAATTGTAAATGGTAATTGTAAACAACAAATGTTATAATTTAAAATTAAACATTATTTTCTGTATTTAAAAGAGGAAATTAGTGCTGAATCAATAAAAATATTATAGTTTTAATTTATTTTTAATTAAATATAATTCTTTCTTTAAATGCAATTCGTTCAAGAAGTAAATATAAAATTAATAATTAAACAAAAATTTTAAATTTTGAATAAAAATATACATATCATACATGTATTAATATAAAGTTATATAACAATAGAATACGGTCATGGTAACTGCATTTTTATATACTCGAACTCTCAAGAATCATAATTAAGTATGTAAACATTGATACAATTGATTATATAATTCAAGGTATAATTCAAACATTGAAAATAGTTATTGAATATAGATAAAATTCTACCACTTGGATAAATTTCGTATAATTTATCCAATTATTGAGATGCTACTACATCCAACGATATTTGTATAATCATTTGCTTGTCAAGGTCGAATAATACGTGAAACCGGCAGTCGATAATGCACGATCTGCCAATGAGAAAAAAAAACCTTTTCTGTTGCATAATTTTCTGCGAAGAAATTGATATTTGACCTTCGTTCCTTCATTTCCATACGTTGATCAGAGGTCTCTCTAATCACAAAAGAAGTACTTCTATTACCACAAGTATTCTATTTACTTCCAATCAATTAAGATTCTGAAAGCTATTATCAAATATATGAGCTGTAGCTGAAGGTTTATACTGGAACTTTTTGGCACTACATTAATTCAGATTTATTCATTTAATTATAAGAGTAGTGTTGATATTGAAATGTTTGAGCTGTTAATGTTAATCAATATTGTAAACATTTATTTATCATTATTTATTTTTCAGAATGAGACAATTCTTAGTCTTGGTCTGCACTCTGGTGGTCGGTATTTCGGCCCAGAGTTTGGACGATTTGATCTCCCAGATTTATAAGCCAACGACTGATTCGCCCAACCTGCAGCCAGGTCTTCCCGGAATCGGTGGTACCGGAGATACTTGTATCTGCGTACCATACTACCTCTGCAACAGCAACAACACCATCAACACCAACGGAGAAGGTCTCATCGATATTAGGTGAGTAGCTCAAACTGCCCACAGTCACTTCACTCAATCAAAACTACTTCCAACCGGCCCCAATTTCCAATTACTGCTAATCGTTATTATTTAATAAACCAATTTTGCGCTTCCCTGCATAATTCAGAACCTGCACAACAAGCAGAAGACCAAAATTGTAAAACTTGCATCTTAGCTACACATTTCTTACCATAAATTAATTCATTTTTAGATTTAAAAAGTGCAGAATTATATACTATTTAAAATAACGTTTTGAGTCTTAAAAAATAAGAAATTATGCATATTTTATCAATGTTTTAATATTATATTATTTAAATTTATTTAATTCAAAGTTACAATTTGAAAATGTAAGAATGCTTATTTAATTAACGATACACTTTAACATTGAAAAAGAAAGAAATTTCTTTCAATAATTATAAAGAACCGATTTATTATGCATTTTTTCTGAAACACAAACACGCTTCACCTTATTCGGAATTATCCTTGTTTTTCTGATTTGTTTTCCATTTTTGAATTCGTTTAACATTGTATTTTAACAAAGAAATTACCAATGCGGTTAATCTATATTTATACGTACTTAATTAGGATAATCCGTTAATCCTGTTTTTCAATTGCCGTTTGAAACGAATGCAGTTTGGGTTTTCCGTGATCAAATTTAATTAAGACGTGAAACCCGTTTGTTTTGTGAAATCTCGAGAAAATCCCCATGTTTTCAACTCGCGGTCGACGTTTGGTTCAAGTCAAAAGATAAAGGTATTCATTCATTTAGATTAGTTAATATTTGTTCCTTAAAGATTTCTATAATTAGATAAAATATAAATTAAATCAATAATATCTATATTTTTCAATATTATTATTGCTTAAGTTAAATTAGTTTCATCTAATTTTTAATTGCAACAAATTATATATAATTAAATTTTTATTGTCACATTTTCTCTTCTTAAAAGTATTTTCATTTTATTCAAAAGATTTTACAAAATTTAATATATTTCTATTCATATTTAAAAAATAGTTCTTCAATATTTCTTCCGTATTTGAAGGTCATAACAAAATTGCTTTAAGCTATATTTTTAATTGCAGCAAAAAATGTTTCCTGGTTATGTTTTTTACTCGAAGCTTGCAAATTATTATTTTTTTAATTAATTTATTGTCTATATTTCATTAATTTATTATTATGCTAATTTGGATTTCCATATTAAAAGAACTTTTATAAATATTAATTCCGTATTTAAGCTTAAATATAATTTAAATCACAATAACAAATTGAATTGAATTAAATATTGGGTTAATGAAGTTTGTCGAAGGTCAAAGTAAGGTTGTCAAATTGTCGATTTCTGATGTTTTGAAAACTGTTGTAATTATTTCGATATACGTAGAAAGTATTTAATTGGTGACACGTATACGTGATTGAGAGGTCAGCGCGGATGGGAATTCCCCGGCTCCGGGGAACTCGTTACGAAACATTAACAAAAAGTTTAAAAAAACTAAGCGTGTTTGCATGGAATTTCAATTTGTTTGTTTACATTTACTTTCAGGATCCAAGAGTGCCCAACTTCATTGGAGTTCTGCTGCAACAAACCCGACATCACCGAGCAGAAGATCACGCCGAAGCCGCCAGTGAAGAGGATCGGTTGCGGTTACCGTAACGCCGATGGTATTGGTTTCAGGATCAGCGGAGACGGCGACAATGAGGCTCAATACGGTGAATTCCCATGGATGGTAGCTATTTTGAGGGAGGAAGTCGTCGCTGATAACCCAAACAAATTGAACGTGTACCAATGCGGAGGAGCCTTGATCCATCCATCCGTCGTCTTGACCGCCGCTCATTGCGTGAACGGTAAGGATAAGAAGTTCAAGATCAGAGCTGGCGAATGGGACACGCAGACCAAGAACGAACTCTTCGAAAATCAGGACAGGCTCGTCAAATCAGTCATCGTGCACAACCAGTACTACGCCGGAGCTCTTTACAACGATATCGCTTTGCTGATCTTGGAAACGCCGGTGGTTATCGCTGAGAACGTTGATGTTATCTGCTTACCTCCTCAAGAATTATCCGTTGAGAATACCAGATGCTTCGCAACCGGATGGGGCAAAGACGTGTTCGGAAAGGAAGGCAAGTACCAGGTCATCCTGAAGAAGGTCGAGCTTCCGATCGTGAGCAGACCTACCTGCCAGGATAACTTGCGCACCACGAGGTTGGGCAAGTTCTTCGAGCTCCATAACAGCTTCATCTGCGCCGGCGGTGAACCTGGAAAGGATACCTGCAAGGGTGACGGTGGTAGTCCATTGGTGTGCCCCATTCCTGGTAAACCAAACAGGTACTACCAAGCTGGAATTGTTGCCTGGGGCATCGGATGCGGAGAGAAGCAAATTCCTGGCGTGTACGTGAACATCCCTCTCTTCCGCAACTGGATCAACGAGCAGATGGCTGCAAACGGTTTTGACACCACCTCTTACAGCTACGAATAAATTGAACAGCATCTTCACATCCACATATGTTGTTTTGTATGTTTTTTACTTCATTAATATTATTCTTTTTTTTTTCTTTTTTTGAAATAGCCTGAGAAATAAAACAATTTTATAATATTACAATCTTGTTTTTCAATCTTATGATCCTCAACTTCTTTAACAAATAAAAGAAATTTTTACCTTTTTATGTGAATCTCCCAATGGTATCTAAATAATTAGTGATTTTGGAGCATAGACAAGTGTTGAAGATAAGTGAAGGTCACCTCGATAACAGATTTACAATTTCGATTTCTTAACTTTCTCATCTTCTTTACCAGTCATAACACAATTTTCAAACGCTTTCGTTATTCTCCGAATAAGATATATAGTCTCAGTAATAAATTGGTGAATTTCAAGTGTAGACACGAGTTGCAGGTAAGTGAAGGTCATCGCAATAACAGATTTACATTTTGATTGCTCAATTTTACGATCATCTTTACCAGTTATAAAACAACTTTTAATGCTTTTCATTAATCTCATAATAAGATGTATAGTCTCAGTTATAAATTGGTGAATTTAAAGTGTAGACACGAGTTGCAGGTAAGTGAAGGTCATAGCAATAACAGATTTACCTCACGGCAATTTATTGATTAACACCAATTGCCTTCGGTTTATATACTAACAATCGCATTAATTAGGTGACATTTTATTAATATTTCCTAGAAATATTATGAAAAAATAATTTCGGACAAATAGAATAAAAATTCGTAGGAAACACTGCATTTTTTGTATTTTTTTTATTATTCATAATCAATATAAAAAATATTCAAAATAGAATTGAAATAATTAACATATTTACATTCTTTTCCTACATTATAAATCCGTTATGTTTCTTTACTAAAGAGAAAAAAACTGATGTCTGCAACATTTTTATTACATTAATTTTCACTTAAAATATGCAAATATATATTTTTTTTCACTATTTACTTCTCTTATTTTTTCAAGAAATATTATAGACCAGTGTTTCCCAAACTGTGGGTTGCGAGTTGATTTTTTGTGGGTCCCGCCCAGATTTTGTATGTATATTTCTAAGTTTTAAAAATTAAAATTTAGGTAAATACAATTAACAAAAAATCTTCATATTCCGGATGGACGTGAGGTCCCGCTTCCTTTTTGTATAGAGAAAGAACTCCTTAATTTCTGCTCTCCTTGAGCCTACATTGTATCAAGGAGCCTAGTATATTTAGCAAACTTTGCAACGTTACAAGATATATTAAATTACAGTAGTGTTGGGTGAGTTGGGGCCATAAATTCACACCGAAATGAAAATCTGAAGTGGTGCATATTTCAAATAATTCAAATATCTAAATTCTATATCAAACCACCCTCCGCTAGCATATATTCTTTTTTATGTGCATTTTAAAAATTCAATGCGTTGAGAATGAGCAATGAATGGGTCGCAATGTTTAAAAGTTTGGGTACCGCTGTAGTAGACTATTCTACTATAACCGGGTCACTAAAAACTTAAGCTAGACAATTCCTACAAAATTTACTAGCCATAACAAAATCGCATAGGACAAAAGCGCGCAAACAAAAAATACGTAGTAAAATGACCCCGTCAAATGCACGAGAATTTGTATGTTTTTTTTTTTTTGTAAATATAAACCCCACCCAGCTGTTAGTGAATATGGAAATAACTATATCGCCAAATTGTTTGTAAGTATTTTTAAAATACAAAACTCACCCAACTGTTAAGGAATAAAAATGGAAAAAAACTAAAAAGACAAAAAAAGTACCTAATATACCAAAATTAGCGATTATAATAAAACTAGTTCGAAATCAATGATAACAAAATTTCTAATGATGATGATCTATACAAAAACCAATAAACTAAGATTTTATAATAAAATAATAACAGATAATATTAAGAAAATCATTATATTATCTGACTGATGTCGATTCCGAAGACTATTTAAAAACCAAGTAAAAGAAAAATATGTAAAAAAAACATTTTGGTAGTGAGGATGACTTTCACGTCAATAGATTTTAAAGGATGTATGAGGTTTCAGATTTATTTACAAGGAATTTTGAAATCTGCTGAAGCGTTTTAAATAAAATATTTTCCAATAAAAATTGTAATGTCGAGAGAAGAAATTGTTAAAATTTCGACTAAAAAATAATTTTCTGAACTGTTCCGAAGATGAATTTTGAAACTTAGATTTTTTTATGTCGCATTGTATTTGTTTTAACATTATTTTCTTTATTTGATTTGTTGGTTGGATGTCGTCTTGTATATTAATGTTATTAACATATTGATGCTCTGCGATTCCACTATTCCCTTTGTCTATGTATCTGCTTTTATTCTTGAAACTGTTATTGTCCATCCATTTGGTTGAAGGTCAATTTGCTGTACTTCATTTATTTGACTGTCCATTCATGATGAACGATGGTCCTGTAACTGCAGGCACCGAAGGAGCTCACATGGCATGGCTGGGTTCGAACTAGCGTTCACAAGGTTGTAAGAACCTGATTTTGCAAATTCAACGTCCAGAAGGAATTGTTGTTTTTTTCATATATTTTATAATTTTTCCTTTGACTTTATGTTTGGCTAATAAATTATTATCATATATTGCTATTTTTTAATAATTTGAAGTTCCGCCACTGGATAAACCAGTTTTCAGGGTGGGAGTTTATTTATCCTGCTGCAATAATAATGAAAAAAAGAATTATTGTGAAGAGAGTCCAGTCTGGTTAACATTCAAGCAGTGGATACGGTGGCGCATACGTCTACATTTTTATATATATTTATACCATATTTTTCTTGGATTCATCATATTTGGTTTTCAACCCTACTTTGGTAGGTAGCATCTGGACATCTCTGTTCAGGTAAGCAGCAACACATTTTTCTATCCATGTATTTAAACGCTATTATCAAAAACATATTTTCCAGTCAAAATTCACGCGCTTATGATCATCAATTGATATCACAATAAATAATATAATTATAATAAAAAAAATTATACCATTATAGTGTATGAGCTATAATGAGTTATCGGAATAACAATAATTTAAAAAAAAGTTGTTACTTTCGATTCATGGTCAAATTTCCAATTTGCGTTACTTTTTTCATAAACATTTTTTAACATTTCAAATTATTTTAAAATAGATAATTAGTCTAAATCTATTTAATTACTTCAATTACTGTTTCGATCAATATTGTTATTTTTTCATTTTTCTAATAAATATATACAAATTTAATACACTTATATAATTATATTCATTTATTTAAATAATAATTAAAAAATATAATTTTTATATATTTTTCAAAAATGTCCATAAAACAAAATTAAAAGTTTTGTGAAAGATTTTAAATTTATTTGCAGCAATAAATAGAATGTTTTGTTTTTGGGGTTTTCAAAATAAAAGTCACTTTCATCGGTAATTTTGAATATCTTGATTATGACTCTAAATTTTCAGTATCAGCAAATATACCTTATATTGATGAATTGAAATTATTGAGAAATATTTATTCAAAGCAAACAACAAATATTTTAATTAATTATCTAATATACACGTTTTTATTATTAATATTTCATTAAAATTATGATTTAAAAATTGTTCTAAATTTAGAATTCCACTAGTTAATCAGGTCTTCTGTAACTTGTTTCCACGGCTTGAATATTAGAAGGCGGTGTCCGAACGGGATTGGGGCAGCGATCCCGCCAGCTCTGCTGACACTATTCAAGGCCTTCGTATTGTCTCGGCAATTCAATTTAAAATATTCTTTATTTCTTTTAAAATATACATTTTTGGAGGTTATTTAGAGGCCGGTATGGGCTTTAGTCTTTTACGGTTTTAAGAAAAAATATTTTACAATGTGTATTTATAAAAATAATAAAAAATTAAATTAAAAAGCTGAAGTGTGGAGTTTAGGTTTTTGGAGTTGGAGGGAGGAATTTTTGGTTTCTGGGTCGTTAGAGTCGGCATTGCGTGCGTGATTTTGTCTTTGGGTGTTTTGGTGAGAGATGTTACCGAAGAGAGATGGAACAGTGATAGGACTGTGTGTTCAAGAGGAGTGTTTGTAGTGGAGGCGAAGGATTTTTCTTTACCATTTTCTTTGAAGGATTCTTTTAAATTGTTGGCGGGGAACGGTGGTGTAAAGTGTCACAATTGTAGGTGTGGAGGAGGGTTTTGTAGTAGTTGGATTGTCTCGGCTGGACAAAGCTTGTTTTATATATGTCATTGCGCTAGGACTATAATCAATATGATAATATCGCATTCAAAACCAGGTGAATCATCCTACCTGCCGTAAACTCAGCAGAGAATTCCTTCCTTCTTTTGTATAAGAGAGTTGGGAGACAACATGCTACTTGATCTAACATTTAGAAAGTTCTCTAAAAACAGACAACAGAGTTCGGTAACTCGGACTTGTTATATAACCTGATGTTTGACAAGTTTGCGGAGTAATTCATCGACACGGATGGCTCAATTCGTCATAGATCTGATTTTTATAACATTTGCATCCCAAAAGCCAAAATCAATGAATGTGGAAAACTGCTCCAAATGCTAAGCTGAACTATAGGAAGAATATTTGGATTTCGAGGGATACAAAATTTGGAGAGGAAAGATGTATTGTTCTCTTTGGATTTAAGGGAAAGCGATAGGTATCTATTGAGAGGAACAGTGTTGGTATTCATATAAGGGAGGTCATTAGAGTAGGTTATTGGAATGTCGAATTTTTGGGAAAGAAGAAGCTACGGAAGGTTCGAAAATGACCAAATCTGGATTTAAGAAGTTTCAAATGGGAATTGAAGGAGGATTCCTAGGTATTTTACAGAGGTCTATGGGAAGGTTACCAAAAGTAATATGCCTGGTATGACAATGGGATAATACTATCATGAGGAAAAAAAAAGAGCTCTGTTTTGGAACGGTTTATTTTGAGACAGCACATGTTGGACTAAGGATGCTGAAAAGAGGTTTTGTGAGTTCTGGATCGATGATTGAAAAGTAGAGGCGTGGGAAACCAGGGTAGTATCATCAGCATATTGAAACATATTCAAGTTAAGATCGAAGATATTGGGATCGGTTTCTTTGTAATTATTTGTACTCTTATTTAATTTGCATTAGATTCGCTAAAGAAGTGAATAGTTTAAAAATTAAACAAAAAATATATCCTTGGAAATCAATGTTTTAATTAAATTAATCTATATGCATTATATATATATATTTTAAGATATAAAAAATAAGCAGAAAATTTTAAATATTTTAATATAAAACATAAACTAACAATGAGCTAAACAACAATAACAATAATTGAATACAGTAACTGCATTTTTTTTCTATATTCGGACTCTCAAAAATTTTAATTAGTTGTGAATTGATAATATAATTGGAGGTATATTAAATAAATACTTATTGAATATAAATAGATTTTCAACATTTTGATAAAATCCAATTATTTGAGAAGCTACTGCAGCCAATAATATTTGTATAATCGTTCGCTTCTCAAGGTCGAATAATAAGTGAAATCAATGCAATCGATAATGCACGATCTGCCAATAAAAAAAAGACCTTTTCTGTTGTGATGAAATTGATCTTTCACCTTCATTACCATACGTTGATCATTTGAGCAGAAGTCTCTAATCACAAAAGGAATACTTCTATTACAACAACTATTCTATTTATTTATGATCTTTACTTGTGGTCTTATGACCAAAAATATTCCACTTATTGCTAAAAATTGGCAGGTTGTGAATAACAAATAAAATTACTTTCATTAAATTAAGATTTTCAAAGCTATTTTCAAATACAGTGGAACCACCTCGCATAACGTGCATTTCGCTTAACGAGCAAAATGAATTGTAAGAAAAATGACTCGCTTAACGAGCGACGTTTCGCATAACGAGTGACGCCTGCTACTTCATTTTTAAAACTTGTGTACTCATGTTATGAGTATTTTTGAATATGTTTCACTATCGGAGTAAAAATCCGGAAATTTTGGAACGGATTAAACTCGTTAATTTATTGCAGATTCATTAATTCATTCATTTTGAAATGTTTGAGATGCAGTACAAAACTTATGTTTAAAATCGCATATTTTCATTAATTATTTCTTTATATTTATTTTTTTAGAATGAGACAATTCATACTCTTGGTCTGCACTCTGGTGGTCGGTATTTCGGCCCAGAGTTATGAAGATTGGATCTCCCAGATCAAAAAGCCTAATGAAAAGACTGAATCGCCCAATCTGCAGCCAGGACTTCCTGGAATCGGAGGTACTGAAATTAATTGCATGTGCGTACAATACTACCTCTGCAACAACAATAACACTATCAACACCAACGGAGAAGGTATACTCGATATTAGGTGAGTAAATCAAAGTGTCCACAGTCACTTTACTAAATCAAAGCTACTGCAGTTCTCCTTCATGGAACTCGTTACGAAACATTAACAAAAAGTTTCAATAACATACGTATTCGCGTGGAGTTTCAATTCGTTTGTTTGCGTTTATTTTCAGGATTCAAGAGTGTTCCAGTACCGTGGAGGTCTGCTGTAATAAGCCCGATATCACCGAACAAAGAATCAATCCGAAGCCACCAGTGAAGAGGATCGGTTGCGGTTACCGTAACGCCGATGGTGTTGGTTTCAGGATCAGCGGCGATGTAGACAATGAGTCTCAGTACGGTGAATTCCCATGGATGGTAGCTATTTTGAGGGAGGAAATCGTCGCCGACAACCCAAACAAATTGAACATCTACCAATGCGGAGGAGCCTTGATTCATCCATCTGTCGTCTTGACTGCTGCCCATTGCGTGAACGGCAAGGATAAGAAGTTCAAGATTAGAGCTGGCGAATGGGACACGCAGACCAAGGACGAACTCTACGAAAACCAGGATAGACCCGTCAAATCCGTCATCATACACAACCAGTACTACGCTGGAGCCCTTTATAACGACATTGCTTTGCTAATCTTAGAATCGCCTGTAGTTATCGCCGAGAACGTTGACGTTATCTGCTTACCGCCTCAAGAATTATCCATCGACAATACCAGATGTATCGCAACTGGATGGGGTAAAGACGTGTACGGAAAAGAAGGCAAGTATCAGGTCATCCTAAAGAAGGTAGAGCTTCCGATCGTGAGCAGACCTACCTGCCAGGAGAACTTGCGCAGCACAAGGTTGGGCAAGTTCTTCGAGCTTCATAACAGCTTCATCTGCGCCGGCGGTGAAGCTGGACAGGATACCTGCAAGGGTGACGGTGGTAGTCCATTGGTATGCCCCATTCCCGGTAAACCAGATAGGTACTACCAAGCTGGAATAGTTGCTTGGGGTATCGGATGTGGAGAGAAGCAAATTCCTGGAGTTTACGTGAACATCCCTCTCTTCCGTAACTGGATCAACGAGCAGATGGCTGCAAACGGTTTCGACACCTCCTCCTACAGCTACGAATAAATTGAGCAGCACATCCACATATTTTGTTCTGTTTACTTCATTAATATTATTCTTCATTTTTTCCTTCTTGGAAATAGTCTGAGCAATAAAACAATTTTATAATACTAAAATTTTAATTTTGCAACCTCAATTTATTTAATAAATAAAACAAATTTATACTATATTCGTGATTCTCTCAATAACATCTATAATCTACTATATATATTGATACATTTCAAGTGTAGACAAGAATTGCAGGTAAGTGAAAGTCATAGGAATATCAGATTTGCCTTCAATGTATTTACTAACCACACTTGCATTCATTAGGTGACATTGCAATATTTCTTAGGAATGTAATAAAAACATATATTTCAAATTATAATTTCATCAAACAAAAAACCAAATAAAATTTGATTTGAATATCATATGTACCAAACTGTACATTTTTACTTTTCTTGACAAATTATTCAATCAAAACAATATTCGTTTCTTATTTAGTTTATTAAATTTTTCACCAATCAAAATAACACTTTTATTGTACACTATGCATTTATTAATATTCATTTTCAATAAATTACATAATGACAAAAGATTATATTAATATTTCTTTGGAAAAAAATTATTAAAATATGACTAACAAATTAACCAATTTATTAAGAATTATAGCAAATAAAATTATTAATTTCGAACAAATAAGATTATAATTTACATAAAAACGTGTTGCATTTAGAAAAAATACCGTTGTTATTTATTATTCATAATTAATATAAAATTTATTCAAAATTTAATTTAAATAATTAACATATTTAAATACATTTCACTAAAATAACAAACAATATCATAAATCCGTTATGTTTCTTCACTACAGAAAGAAAAACTAGTGATTGCAATGTATTTTTTACATTGTTTGGTTTTCCAAGAAGTATACTCAATTATTCTTATTAAAACTATACAATCGCTACAAATGTTCAACTAAAATTGGTTTAGGTATATTTGTTAACCCCAAATAGGTACGAAAATATCAAGTAAGGTGGGTAGTGCAAATTTCCCAGTCACTTCATTCAATCACAGCAACTTCCCATCGACCGCAATTGCAGTTACAGCAATTATTTAATAACCATAACCCAATTGTATGCTTCCTTGTCTCAATCAATTACTCACTACATTTTTTAAACTATATACCTATTTTCAACACATTCAACAACAAACAGTTTTAGTAGTAAATGGTAAAAGATTCTATGACAATGGATGGAATCACGCAAATTGAATATACACAAAAATTAGATTTTTATCAATATAAAATCAATATTTAACATGCAAACAGTTTTCAATGCGCAATTTAATGCATATAATCTCCATTAATTAATTAAATTTATATTTATCCAATGAAAAATATTTTTGAGAGCGGTATTCCCAGCTAGGAATCAACATATGATTGTAGCATAAATGAGATGTCATAATCTTTCTGGTTCATTTACTCATTAATTGTCAACACAATGTTTTATCTATACATTTGATGACAACAGTTGAAAAGTATTTTTTCATTACATTATTATTTTTTTCAATAAATTATACTTCTGAAAATTTGAAAATATTTGTTTTCTAATGATACTTTTAGTTGGGTATAATCTTCATTTGTTTTGTCTTAACAACAGTGATAGTTATAGATCTGTATGAATTGCTGTTTCAATGTAGAAATATATGAAGACTTTTGGGTATAGTTCTTTTTATTTGGTATATCAATTGTAGATACTAGTTTTCAGAAAATACATCAATAATTGTAAGTGATAAAGTTCCTTTGAATGTAAATATTTTGGTAAATAGTTCAACACGGATGAAATATAGATTAGAAATCTGACGTACGTGAAATTTCCATTGATAACATTTTAGCTCAATAAATTGGGTCAAAGTCATTTGGTGAAGAACGATCAAAATTTTAATATGTAGAACATGTTTGCAATTGTTTTTCATAAAAAAAACCTTTACATATCCATCTATGATACTGACAGTTGTCAATTGAGTGATGAGTCAAGTTGTAAAAGCATGTTTGCAGTTGTTTTTCATAAAAAGATAAACCTTGACATATCCATGTACTGACAGCTGTCAAATTAATCATGATCAAAATTTTAAAAGAACATAAAAAGATGTCTTTAAGAACCTTAAATTGGTTTACTGTAATTTGATGAAAGACAATCCAAATAATGAGTCTACACATTGAAACTGTTGTATACAAACGTTTCTTTTATTTTATGAAAAGTTGATAGAAAAATCAAACGTAACCTGTAACTTCTTAATGGTTCTTATCCTTTACTTATTGGTTATTTGTTGAAACTCAATGGTAGATCCAGTGGCTTATGTCGCATCAGTCGCTGTGTTGTTAGGCTATTGTCCAGAAGATTGACAGCTAGTACATTTGGATGTCTGTCTAGTCTATTTTGGTATCGGCTACTGTTTTTCATAATTGTTTCCTCTACTGTTTCCATTTGAAGGTCCTCATTAATTCTTATTCTTGCAATTTTCCATCAGCTGAATTAAAGAAAAGATATATACTATATCATCTTGAAGAAGGTCATTACAGACAAAGCTACCTGTTCTTTGAGCTTCATTAAAGATTCGTATGCGTTGAAGGTAACCAGGTACCAGGATTTGATAGAGTGCCAACCTGATCAAGCAGCATTGGAAACCTGCTCCTATACCTACATGCAAATTAACCATCAACTCACAATTTTATTAAGTGTTTTTTTTAATTCTTTTCCAATATTATTATTTTTCTGTGATAGCCTCTGTAATAAACAATTTTATTCCAAAGAATTTTGATCTCCTTGCGACCCCAACGATGCAAGGTCATCTCTGATCACGATAAAACGAAAAAGCATTCGACAGTTTTTCGTCGTCCACATATACATATAGTTCTCTACGCTCTTCAGTCCGCATTGCAAAGCAAACGAGATTTGCACCCGTTTATTTACTTAGACGCATTCTGGTGGATTTGGAGTGTAAACACGGAGTTGCAGGTAAGTGAAGGTCACATCAATAACAGATTTACGTTCTGCCTCGTCGCAAATTGCTTATTAATACTAATTATCTAATATCGCCAACAACAATTATCCATGTATTCATTAAAAGAATAACATTATTTCAATTGTAATTGGAAATTACATTAAAGGAAAATCTTTTGAAGAAATAATATTGTATTTATAAAAAAATAAAGAAACATTTACTTATTTCTAAAATTAGTAAAAATTAAATTAATTTTATAATAAAATTTTAAAACACAATAAAACTATTGTGTTTTAAAATTGCTCTTACTTTTTGACGGTCAACATTCTTTGAATAAATCTTATTGTATTTTATGATTAATTAATTATTGTTTAGTTTTTTCACATAAATGATGACAATATATCATTATTTAATAAACAATCTAAAATATAATAATTTATTGTTTTTATTTCTTTTCATTATTTACTGTCACTATTTGACAACTTTTTGAATCCATCAGGTGCAAACATCAATATTCGAGTCGTTTGTAACAATGATCAACAATCTACATCGAGCTATGAATTAATTATTGTTTTAACAACACACAAAAGAATAATACATGAAATGATATAAATTATAAATCTTGTCAGCAACATTATTTAATATTTCAATGTCATGCTGTTAAAACCAAGACAACTTTTCGATATGGTGTTATGTGTAGTATACATACATATTTTTTTTAATTCCACCTGAGATTTAAGTGGAAACGAAACACGTTTTATTGCTTAATATTTCTCGGGAAATTTACGGTACGTGATTTTTGTGAATAATTAGCATAAAATAATATTTGTTTTATTTATTATTAACAGTTTTATTTTGATCGTGAAAAGATTTCGGCTCATATTTTTACATCCATTTAAAAAAAAATAATGATGAACTCATGGAAATAATTAGAAAACAATATTATTGCAAATGTTTCTCTTGTTTCAAGTAACGTTGATAGAACAGTCAAACATAACCCATAAGTATAGAGATGACATATCCATATACTTTACTGAGAGTTGTCAAATGAGTCAACATCAAATGAGTGAAAGTAAACACAAACTAAACAGGTTTAATGAGGTTTTTTCAAATAGACAATAAAATACATGTTCATTTGATAATTATAAAATATTTAATTTATTGTTTTTAAGAAATAGAATTAAAATTCTCAGAATATCTAATTTCAATTTTGGAAAAGTTTTTCAAGTTCAACTGAAGTTTAGAAGTATTTTTTTTGTTGATTACACAATGCCATTTAATTATTTAAAATGTGAAATTAATCCATAAGTTTATTAACGTTAAAATATCCTTATTTTTTTTATAAACGTCATGTTCTATGTAGAAGCACAAATCCATAATTTAATGGAAAGTTAATAGAAAAGTCGAACATAACCTGAAACTACAGACTTGACATATGTATCAATATTACAGACTGACAACTTCAAATAAGTGAACGTCAAACAAGGTTAACATTTGAGAACCTCATCTAGTCGTTATCACGTACTATGTTAGATACAGGACTCCAAACAATGAATAACATAACCCATAACTATAAACATGACATATCCATATACTTTACTGACAGCTGTCAAATGAGTCAAAGTAAACACAAACTAAACAGGTTTAATGAGGTTTTTCAAATAAACAATAAAATACTTGTTTATTTGATAATTATAAAATATTAAATTTATTATTTTTAAGAAACGACATAAATAGAATTAAAATTCTCAGAATATCTATTTTAAATTTTGGAAAAGTTTTTCAAGTTCAACTGGAGTTTAGAAGTATTTTTTATTGGTTACACAATGCCATTTAATAATTTAAAATGTGAAATGAATCCATAAGTTCATTAACGTTAAAATATCCTTATTTTTTTTATAAAGGTCATGTTTTATGCAGAAACCCAATTCAAAAAAACTCGTGTTGATCATTTTATTAATTTTTTTTATATTTGTAGATTTATATTGAAATTTCTACAAAATTTCATGAACATTAATTCGATTCGCAAGTACTTAAATTTATTTAATACACAAAAATATACACTTTACATATACAGTGGAATCTCGTTTATATAGCACCTCGCATAACGAGCAAAATGAATTGTAAGAAAAATGACTCGCTTAACGAGCGACGTTTCGCATAACGAGTGACGATGAGAAGAGAAGTCCCGGATTGCGCGCCTGCTACATCATTTTTACAACTTGTGTACACAAATTATGTGTATTTTTGAATATGTTTCACTATAAGAGTAAAAATCCGGAAATTTTATATTTTTTATAAAATATTAAAATTTATTAAACTCAAAACAATTTTACTTACAAAACAAGATCTCAGTTAACTAAACCTCAGTTATAAAAAACAAAAAATAGTCTGAACTGAAGACGAACAAATATTTTTAATATAGTAAAGGCTTTCTTACAAAAAGTATTTATAATATCTCAAGTATTTAAAAAATTTACTTTAAAAATGGAAATTTGTCTATCTGCTAAGTATGTGAAGTAGTTTTGAGCAATCATAGAATAATCACCTCTGTCTAGTCATCAAACTAATGGAAAAATAATCTATCTAAAAACATCCAACTAATAGCCAAAAACAAAATCTTCGAAAACCTGTTTATCGTGTTATATCTTCCTTTGCTCAATTTAACATCAACATAAATTGGTAAACTGCACGCAGCGCCTGTCGTCTATTGATTATATTTTTTCTTTTAACATTTGTTAATTCTTCGTGACTAAGAAATTATTAACAACACAAAAAAAGAGACTACACGTAGAATGTAATAAATAGCGAGGTCTCTGAAGAAATCCATTAGCATACGGAGATAACATACAACAATCTTCTCAATTTAACAGTTATTATTTGTATAATCATTGAAACGCAACTTCCTCCTCCGCTTCGTGCTATTCCACGAAGGTTAAACCATAATTTCGACGTAATTAATGTTATTATTTAGTTTGCTCCACCTTAAATCGTTCTATTCAAAAATACATTGCAATTTTTTTTGTCTTTTGTACTTGAAATATTTACAAGAAATTTTAGAGAGACGTCAAGAAGCAATAATTCTTCGAAACTGTATGTTTATTCATTAAATTATCGAACCATTAACATTCTCAGAATTGTTTATTTATGATAATTTCCCACTTTATTTGTTTATTATTATTACGTTCAGCAAATATTGCAAAAATATTTATGAAAATCCCATCTCGAAATTCCATCCTTTTTGGAAATTACCATATTAAATAAATAATTTTAATAAAATTCTGTGCCACTGTTTCATTTTCGTTTCGTATATTTTTTTTGTTTTACTCTCATTGTAATTTACACCAAATACGTATACATCGAATCGATTCGGAAACCCGATGACCCAGGCCCAGATCCATACAATGGTGAGGTGATGTGGTAATCACGAACAAAAGTACAGACAAAAAAAAACAGACAAACAAAACATTCGTTGCGTAATTACAAATATTTCATTCATTACCAATACGACTTTCCTATTATCCATTTTGTGTTATTTTTCGAATATTTATTTGTTTGTCTTTTAATAATTGAGATTTCTAGGTAATTGGACTTTCTTGGTTGCTATTGTATTATTATATCGAATTAAGATAATTTAAATCAACTGAAAAGTGATTGAACTTTAAACAAACACGTTTTGTTCTTAATCAATGTTATTTTTATATAGAATCGTATAGAATTGTGACATAACAAATTTTTTTGAGCTGATTTAATTACATACAACATAAGTGAGCATAATAAATTATTAAAGGATTGGATTATATTAAATCTTAAAGGATTATTCTGAAGTTTGATTCATTCTATTAGTTGGTTACTCTTTTCTTAGTTTGAACTTCTTTTTCAATAGAAAGATTAAAGAATCCAACAAAATTACAAAATTATATGAAATTACAGTTTGTTTAACGGAATTATTTTTACCTTATTTAAATTTAGTTTGGCAAAACGGGGTAAATTATCCCCAAAATGAATAATGAATAATAAAAGTGAATTCTTATGGTAATGACGATCAGCAATTAAAATAGGTAAAAACGTTTCCCAACCCCTGTACTACATAGATCAGCGGTCCCCAACCTTTTTGACCTCACGGACCACTAAACTCAACATAATCTCGCGGACCATTACAAAGACTTAAAAACAGGTCCATATGCTGAACCTCATTCATTTCACTGTCCATCTGTGATGAACGATGGTCCTAATGCTGCAAGCACCGAGGGGGCCCACAACGGGCCTGGCTTGACCAGGATTTGAATCTGCGTTCACTAGCTCGTGGGTAGGACGACTTAACCATTCGGCTATTAGTCGCCCTATCATTAATCTTAGTGTTATTTTATCTGCAAACACTCGAGAAAATACGTTTTTAGTATTGCTGTTAAAGGTGACTAAATATTTTAAAAAATAGTTCTTCGATCATGTTTCCAGCTTGATTTGTTTATAACTTTGTAGTATATAAAATTTGGTATTAAATTATCATAATCTATGACATTTCTCAGATTTCTTTCATATTGTATGCTTGGAATGTGATAAAAAGATTTACAATTTAGTTTACTTATATGTCGTGTTGATGACTCTAACTAATGGTTGGTCATTTTTTCTCGTAGCATGCAGAAGGTTTTGATGCTCTGTTCCTTCGTGGCTTTAGTTTATGGCCAAGAGGAAGATATTGGTAAAGCGATAAACAATGTGTTCACGAAATCCCCACGCAATGTATGGCAATTCTTGAGCTCAGAGCAACCTGACAGAAATATCGAGTCTTTGGGTGCTTTTGATAGATGCGGTGAAGGAAAAGATAAAGGAGTGCACGCTTGCGTTCCATACTACAACTGCGACGCAAGAACATATACCATTATAGAAACAAGAACAGCAGGCACTAGAATCTCGATCAATATAAGGTGATTGATTATAACAAATCCAAAATAGTAGATTGTAAAAATATATACGTTAGGTTTGGTACAACTGATTGCGCTCATTACCTAGAAGTGTGCTGCGCCATCCCGACTACCAATGAGTCAACTCTATCTTCGGCAGATCCGAAAGAACCTGTAGTAACCTCGCCGATTCCTCCAGTCACCCCAGGAGGAGGCAAGTCTTGCGGCATCAGAAACTCTGCTGGTATTGATTTCAAGCTCATGGAAAAGCGGAATGACGAAGCCGAGTTTGGAGAATTCCCCTGGATGGTTGCTATTTTGAGAACCAATATAGTTAAAAACGAGTCGCTCGATGTTTGCGGAGGTTCATTGATCACTCCAAACGTGATCCTGACAGGAGCCCACTGCGTTCAAAAGTAAAGCAATGCAGTTTTAGTGAAAGAGGAAGCATTTACACTAGTCTTATTCATTAGATTCAAGACTGGAGATATCAAGGTGAGGGCGGGCGAGTGGGATACTCAAACCACAATGGAAAGAATCTCGTACCAAGAGCGCGCCGTCGCCGAGATCATCATCCACGAGCAGTTCCATCCGCAAACTCTGTACAACGATGTCGCTCTTCTGATTTTAGAGAAGAAGTTCATCGACGCGGATAATGTGAGAACGATCTGCATGCCAGCTCAGAACTTGAAGTTCGAGTCGAGGAACTGCTTCGCCATGGGTTGGGGCGAAGGCGTGTCGGGGAAAGGACAACACGGCATCTTGAAGAAAATCGAAATGCCCATCGTTGAGCGCGATAAGTGTCAGGAGGCTTTGAGAACGACGAGGTTGGGTCAAGTCTTCGACTTGCACAGCTCTTTCATTTGCGCTGGAGGCGAGGGCAAGAAAGACACCTGCAAGGTAATCTTGAATCTTCCGTATTTGTAACTGCAAGAGCTGAACGATTCTATTCTTGTTGTTTAGGGAGATGGAGGTAGTCCCTTAGTATGTCCAGATCCGCAGAATCCTGGACGCTATCTTCAAGCAGGAATCGTTGCTTGGGGAATCAATTGCGGCATACCTAATGTTCCCGGCGTCTACGCTGATGTCGCACAATACAGAGACTGGATAGACGCTGCAATGAAACAACAAAATTTAGATATTAAACCATATATCGAATAATTACAAACTCACAGAAACAATTTAAATAATATGCTTTCCTTTTAATCCAAAATTTCAACTTAGTTCGATTAGCACAAATATTTTCGAATTTGGATATTATTTATTATTTTTTATAAATTATATGCTAGACACATACATCAGTGTTTTTCTTGCTTCTTATTTAGAAAATACCAATCCAATTATGTATAAAAACTTTGTAGATATATGCACACCTTCATATAATTGCTCAACGTTGATATCTAAAAAGGCCATATTTTTTTCTTTAATTTCAATGTTCTACATTCTCATTATTAATGAGTAATAATATAAAACATAAAAATTAAAAAAATATTTTTCGATAAAAAAAAATGAAATTATTATTCTATGTTAAACAATGAAAAATAACAATAAATTACTTAGCATAAATAAGTTCAATAATAAAAGTTTGCGTCACTCTTCAGATAAACACGTTTGCCGAAGGTTCGAATCTTGCAAACGGTCGTAGCTTAGAGGTCGAAGGATACAACAAGGTCCGATAAATCATCATTAAATTGATAATAAACCAAGAAAACACTTTGAATATTCATGTTCTCGAACGGTAGCTACAATTGCGATGAGCGCATATGTAAATTCGAGCGGAATATGGAGGACAGAAATTCCCAAACTACACACAAATCCCGGTGAATCAAGTAATTTCACTATAAAACCGGAAGTCTCACGTGTTCGTCCAACAGAATTCGACCGCATTTATTCCCCATTATGGTACAACAATTTCGATGATAAGATTCTTGTATAAATACCGGCTTCGAATCGGTATTTCCAGCAGTAATCTTAGTGCGAATATCTTGAACCGATTAAGGCTTATAACGCAGAGAGACTCACTTCTCAAGGTAATTACGCAATGAATAATAAGACTAAGGTAGCAATTAATGTTAATTAATACGGAGATTAAAGTGTATAAAGCGTTGCGGATTTAAACGTATTATTGTTTTATATTGCGAACTTGAAAAATTCTGTCTTATAAAACTGTAAATAAACTCGTTCAAAATAGAAATAATCTTTGTAAAAGTTCAATGAAGCTATCACTTGTCATTAACAAACAATATCTCCATTAAATTATTAACTTTGAAGATTTTTCATGCAAAAAATAAAATAAAAAAATAATTTAAAAATTAATATATTTAAAAAAAAAATAGTAAACGACACTGACCGTATTATGTCAGATTAAAACAAGTTTATTACTAATGAATTCACTGAGTCACACCTCTTTCGATTATAAATGTAATTGCTGAAACAACAAATCTGCACGAGACAATTTTTATCTTGAAGTTAATGAAGATTGTGGCCAATCGAAGCTATTTTTGGTTTCGTCTTCTATAATCTATATAACGACTATATTTAACCATTTGGATCTTGTTATTGCTAAAGAGAATGTGGAGAAACCCAAACTGTGTATCATATAAATAACAAGAAAGAAACCAAAAAAAGACGAATTTGACTATGATGAAATAAGAAAGAATATTGATTTAGTTTTCTATAATCTGATCTAAATTAAGTATCAAATTCATTGCATTTGCATTTTGTTGTTTCTAATTAACAAGAGTTCAGAGAAACCCAAACTGTGCGTCAGGTAAATAACATTAAAAAAAAGCATCTGAAGAATCAACGAAACGAACATGACAAAAAAATAAACGAAGAACAACAAATGAAAGAAGACGACGAAAAACGTGACCTTTCAATTTTGAAAACTGCGTCTGTCTCGTGAAACGGTAGTGGGAATTCATCAGATTCACATTTAGTTTACCTGTGCGCACTGCAGACCACTCAGTGTCGCCTTAAAAGCTACCCAAGTAAGTTTCATAATTTTCGCATACGTTATAATATAATTTCAAATGCACTTTCACGCGATTGAAATTAGTTTATTTTCACTTCTGCATTTGCACTTTAGGCGTTTAGTTTTTAATCACACAAAAATATATGCATGCACATCCAGGTCAAGAACGTAGTTTCGTTTAGTTTGTGGATTGATAAACAATGGCAAAAGTTTCAATGTATCTAAATTAACTATGAATAATTTGCGTATTTACAACATTCACATGAATATTTACATTTTAGACATGTTTTGAGATTTAACTAAAACAATAAAGATACTTGTTTATATTATAAACGTTCATATTGAAAGTAGATTTTTAGTTAATTAATTTTCTATACACTTATTTCCTAATATATAATTATTGTTTTTGATGTAATTAAACTTTAAAATTATATTAAATTTGAACATAAACTTATCTGGATACTTTTATGATTGTCTGTGTTTCCAATCAACGACTTTTTCTTAATTGTTTAATTAAAAAGTAAAAACTGAGACCAAATATGAAATTAATAAACAATAATTTAAAATTATTCGGACAGAAAGACCTATGGTCAATAGCCCTTTCTATCAGTTAACTTTTTTGAAATTATATATATTTATTTTGTTCTTTTTATTTCTGTATATGTTTTTTGTACGACTGATGCAATAAACATTATTAATATTAATTCTCTCTAAAAACATGTGTAAAACTACTTAAAAAATCTATAAGTTATATAAGTTTTTTTACAATAATTACGTCTCTATAAAATATATATTAAATATTGTGAAAGAATCGTTAATGCATTGTAGAAGGTCGTAATCTCAGAAATAAAGTTCATGCAATAAAATACGGAAATTTTCCATCATTTTTATAAGAAAAATAATGTATTTGAAATTATAACTCATTATATAAAGCCTAATTGAAAAATTGTACTCAGTCACCCATTCAAATTATACCCGAGACAAGAAATGCTTAACTTAACATTGTTGTCAAATATTGACAGGTATTCAATCTATTTAATATAATAATAATACTTGACTGATAATATTTTTTTGTTATAAAGAAATATATTCATTATATCTATTAATTTAATGCAGCTGTATATAATTTAATTATTATGCATACAAATTCCAGGAATTTTGGGTTACACATATTGTTTTGATACAACGATTAATATTTAACCTCGACAAAATTATTAACTATTAGATTTAAATTGAATAAAGTACATTAATTTTTCATTGAAAAAATACCATTTGGAAAATCAATTTTAAAAAAATTAAATTTTAAATAGAATTGATTGAATTTTCCGTGAAATACTTTCACAAATTAATAGACTAATAATTGAAGCATTCAAAATGAATTAAAAAATGCTCAATATTTATAAATTTATTATCAATGAAAATATCTACCACCAAATTATATAGAAACATTATCATATATTTACATTTGTATAAATCAGTTATATGTATATATTTCTTTTAAATTTAAATACGGAATTGTATTTAAAGTGAGTATTGTCTTCTGTGAACTTTCACAGATGTATATTCTGATAGGGCAAAGCCTTGACATTTTCATATGCATCATTAGGACATTGCTCGTATTTTCAAAGGTTTGATGATGTTAATTTTAATTTAGGTCAATTGTGATTTTAAATTTACAATTGACTAAAAATAAATGTTAGTGTTAGTGATTTTCGATTCAAGTAGTATCTGCATCTTCCTTAACTATCGTATGATGTGTACGTTTCATTTATGAAATAAATTATTGAAATTATTTAGTAATATTCATAAAAAATAAGATTTAATTTGAACATTTCATTAAAAATTTCGAATAAACATTTGTATTGTTTATAAAAGAGAGACAGGAAATAGGAATAACAATGTAATGGTTATTACAAGTATCCTCGTTAACTGTAATAGGTCGATTTAAACTAATGGTCTGTTGTGTATTTTTCCGAACAGAATGAAGTGCGCATTACTTCTTTTTTCCTTCGTGGCTCTAGTATGCGGCCAGAATGATCCGATCGGCGATGCTATCAAAGAGGTCTTCACGCAATCCCCGCGTAGTTTCTGGGATTCCTTGGGCGAAGAAGTAACGACGAAGGCTTTGGAGACCTTAATGGCCTTGGAGAGATGCGGCGAAGGCAACGATCAAGGAGTGCACGCTTGTGTTCCGTACTACAACTGCGATGGAAAAACGAAAACCATCATACAGACCGGTGAAACCGACGGTTTCGGAGTGATCGACATCAGGTGAGAGCAGTCAAAGCAATCAAAAAGAAACGGATTGTTGATCGATTCGTAGGTTCGGAGAGACAAGCTGCGCCCATCCTTTGGATATCTGCTGCGCCATCCCAACCAACGGAGTTCCAGCCAACGTGACGACTCAAGCACCTGTCGATCCTAAACAACCGGAGGTCACCTCGCCCGTTCCTCCAATCACCCCAGGAAAAGGCAACTTCTGCGGCATCAGAAACCCCAATGGAATCGATTTTAAGATCACCGGAAATAACAACAACGAGGCCGAATACGGGGAATTCCCATGGATGGTTGCCATTTTGAGAACAAATCCAGTCAAGGACGAGACTCTGGCCGTCTGCGGAGGTTCATTGATTACGCCAAACGTGGTCTTGACAGGAGCTCACTGCGTGCAAAAGTAAACCTACCTTCGCAATTCCACGTGCAAAGAAGTATTAATTATTATTTACAGATACAAGACAGGAGATATCAAAGTGAGGGCTGGTGAATGGGATACTCAGACCACGAGAGAAAGGATCCCGTACCAAGAACGCGCCGTCGCTGAGATCATCGTCCACAAGCAGTTCCATCCTCAAACTCTCTACAACAACGTCGCTCTTTTGATCTTGGAAGACAACTTCGTGAAGGCGGACAACTTGGGAACGATTTGCATGCCACCCCAGGACTTGAAATTCGACTCTAAGAATTGCTACGCCACTGGATGGGGCAAAGATGTTTTTGGAAAGCAGGGTCAATTCCAGGTCATCTTGAAGAAAATCGAGTTACCCATTGTTCAGCACGACAAGTGCCAGGATGCTTTAAGGACTACTAGGTTAGGGAAACTGTTCGATCTTCACAAATCGTTCACTTGTGCCGGAGGAGAAGGCAACAAAGATACATGCACGGTAAATTAAACTGTTATTTATTATCAGAGAAAATGCATAAATGTTTTCTTTTCTTCGCCTACAGGGAGATGGCGGCAGTCCTTTGGTATGCCCGGACCCACAAAATCCAGGACGATACCTTCAAGCTGGCATCGTTTCCTGGGGCATCGGATGTGGCACCGAGAATGTTCCCGGCGTCTACGCTGATGTCGCCCAATACAGAAATTGGATAGACGCTGAAATGAAGAAACAGAATTTAGACACTATGCCATACAGCATCTAATTAATGAAAATGTGATATAAACAAATGAAATACCGAATATATTTTTTGACTGAGCTCTAATTTTGTAAAACCAATTAAATATCATTTAAGTAACCCATCAACATTTAAAAAAAATCATTAAAAAACAATTGATTTCTCACATTTCATTATGCATTAAAAATCTAATAATTATTGAATTCAATGTTTTAAACTCACCTATAATAATCATCCTTCGTTTCGTCTCTAAATCTCATCGATTACGAAACTAAAAGATAAACAGAATTAGATACAATGCAGCGTAGTGCACAAGTCGTTTGTTTTTAATTCAATTACACAACGTCAATACGGAACCGACTTCCCCCAGAAAACGAAAACAACTTGCCTGAGACAAAACTTATCCTGAAAAAAATAAAAGTGAACAAAAACACAGCAAGGGAACTAAATGTTCAAACAAACAAAAAGAATAAACCCCTCGGAGACCTAGGAATTTTATGTAAGATTTTTTTCACAATTTCATTTTATTGTTCGTAAGAGAGAAAAAAAAATAATAATACAAGACGATTTTCTATGTTTTGAGTCCCAGCTACAGAACGCACAGTGCGTGAAGTGAAAGATAGAGAGAAATATGAGGATAAAGAACATATTTTCGACTACACGAGCGACGAAAAAAAAAACTCTTACCGAGATGCAAGGGAAAAAACAACTGCAAACGATTTATAACAATTTTCGTTCACAAATTGTATAAACAAAAAAATATATTTAAAACAATAATCGTCTAAAAGTCAATCTGAGGTGTTCAAACAAAAAAAAACTATGCGGGAAACATAAATGTTACTCTGAATGTTACAAACTCGTGAGGAGTTCAAAATGTTACAAAAAAAAACAGGTCCTTAAAAATTAAACGAATTCTCTGCGTCGGTACTAAATACGTAGTATTTAATAAAAGCGGACATCTATTGTTCGACCATCGATCCTCGCCCTGTCCATATTCTCTGTAAAATCTAGTTAAAGAAAACAACAGCAAAATTGTGACAAAATATAACTTGCATTTGCGGACATTATAAGAGTCGGCTACAAAAATGCATTCAATTTTACAACTTACTATATTTTTAAGTTAAAACTTCAAATTAAATTTTCCTTTAAAAATGATTATCGTTTAACTTCGAAATATTGTAAGATATTTTATACCAATTAACACGATTCATTGGTGATGTAGTCTACATCCATTACGACCAATATTAATATCATACTTTTAAAACTAGAACGTATACTAAAGTATATACTAAGAGTACACGGCTTGTAAAAGTAATTTGGTTATCTTGTAAGATTTATAATATACAGTAATACCTCGATATGTCCTAAGGATATGGGGATTAATAGATAACGAGACAAGACAAATCTAAGCTGATGAGAGAAGTTCAAAGTTGGTAACTGCGCTGTTAAGAAACAACACTGAACGGGGTATTACTGTAGACCAGTTACTTTCAACCGGTTTGCCACGATTTTAAAGTTCATTAATTAGATTACTTTCCAAAGAAATCCAAAGGACGATAAGTGTGCAAAACAAATATAAAACACCATCATATTTTAAGTGTGCCTTAGAATTTTAACTATGGTTCATGTGTGCCATAAGATAAAAAAAAAAGGTTTAAAAAGACTGTTGTAGGTTATACTAAATTTGGATTTAAATAATTGGACAAAACTGATTGATGTACGTTATGTATGAATCATCGAAAACGAGGAAGGGAAGAACAGTTGTATGGACTCCAAGTCTAAGCAAAGTTCCGATGATGTGGCAAACCGAATCCACTACATTTGATGATTCATCGATGAGGTAACAACAAAAAATCATGTAATACCTAGGTTACCTTCGATTGCCGTTCTTAACGAAGGCAAAACATGGATAGAGTAATTGGTGAATCTTGTTGTATTTAAACGTAAATCAATCAAACGAGTTGGAAACGTTTCTACTGAAGATTTGAGGTAGTGACTAATCAAGTGAGAGAAATAATGTAGAGTCGATCGTATGAGGTAGAGTTGTAAAAATGTGCAGGTAACAAAGAAAAGGATACTTATGGCTTGATCAGCTTCCCAATCGTTACGGAAGGTAACAACAATATTTCCGACTCCCTGTTCCTCGACAAGTTCAACAGTGCCAAACTCACGGCATTTATCACTTAACATCTTGTAACTCGCAGTGGGCGGTAACTATAAGTAACGGACGTATCTATAGTAAAAGCATTAAGAAGCTAGAGTTGGAGAAAACTTACATTGGATATCATAATTTTCTTCGAAAACTGCTGCTTGATCTCGTTTTGCCTCATGTGATTGTTGGGAGCGTTGTTGCCGCCCATGTTGCTATTTCCACCCATGTTGTTGTTTCCACCCATATTGTTGCCGGGATACATGTTGTTACTGTTACTGTTATTGCGCGATTCGCGATCATTATTACTATTGAAGTTGTTGTTGTAGTTCGACTTCGGATCGTACGACTGGTAATTTCTGTTGTTGGAGGGGTTGTTGTTAGAATTATTGTATCCGGTGTTCTGCTGGTGAGATAAAAATGAGGACTGGCCATCGGGCCTGTTGAAATTGTTTGAAGAATTGTTCATGTTGTTCGACGAAGCAGCGAGGGCGGCCAACGAAGGATTGTTTTGGACAAGATTTGCGGCCAAACTCAGGTCGGCATTTCCTAGACCACCACTCAGCAAGTTGCCGGATAAACCACCTACTCCGGCCAGATTTGCGGCCTGAAGGACAGCGGAAGTGGAATTCAAATTACCAAGAGCCGAGCTCACGTTGTTCAGATTCGTCAAAGCGTTCGCAGCGTTTACACCCAACTGTAAGTTCGGAACGGCCCCTAGGATACCAGGTCCGGGATTCACATTATCCTGTTGACCAGACATGCCCATGTTGGGTAGATTCCTAGCGACATCCTTGAGAGGTTCCCCGTTCGATCCCAAGCCCGGACCAATAGTTTTCAGACCATCCGGTAGTTTTTCCCTTTCACCTCCACGATCCATGCGGACGGTCATTATGCGATCAAACAACGGCTGATTGTGAAACATAGAAATTGCCTGGACAGACTCAACCGGGTGGTCGTACTCGATAACAGCAAAACCTCGACTTTGACCATCCTTACCCAATGGTATATCAACATACTGCACTTTGCCAGCCATCCTAAACACCTCTTTCAGCTTCTTCGCATCAACCTTATATTCCAACTGTAAGACAAACCTTTCACTGAATATTTTTCATAGACAAAAAATTTCTAACTAATGTGGATATGATTATTCTTTTTTGTTTTCTCTATAATGTACCAATTTGTATTAAGACAAGGATGCTATTAAACCAATTTCAAAACAAAAATCTTAATGAATCCACACCAAATAAAAACAAACAAGAGAGAAAGACAAAGAGAAAAACCTACATTCATCAGCAGATAGATTGAACAATGGTGGAACAAAGTTTTCAACATATTGAGACAAACATTATAAAATCCCAAAAGCAATATCAAACAATTAAAGATTGCAATACCGGTAACCTACAAAATAACTCAATATTTGATATTCATAAAATTTTATATCCTCAAAGATTGAAAAGAATAATTTACTTCTCTTTATAAACAATCAAAAATTTCCATTAAAAAAACACCAAATAATAATGATAATAATTTATCATATTTCAATATAATTCTCTATTATAAATTAATTACAATAATAGCATTATTTTGTAGAATTTGTAGAAGATTCATCATTTCATGACAAGAAAATTATTAACAAGTGTTAATAAAAAGAAAACTTCATCACCATGGTATAAATATTATTTTAAGTATTAGTACTTCAATGTTATGAATAGTTGTCTCAAAAAGATAATGTTTTAAAAAAATAGTCCACCAACATTGCATATTTAGACCCGGTATTGCAATCTACATGGACAATAATAATTATATTAAAATAATTATAAAACTTACATTTGCAACAAAGACTCGTGTGCTTAGAGAACAATTGATGTTGAGCTCCTCAAGGAATGCAGGGCTAAGACCATAAGTGTTCCCCCATTTGTTTTCTGGTATGGCAGGTGGACCCATCTGATTATTCTGCATGTTATTTGAGTTATCGAAGTTCCTTCTCTCATCCCATCTGCGATTATCCCTGTTCTCATCTCTATTTTCCCTCTTTTTAGAGCTGCCACCTCCACCACCACCACTTCCACCAATTAAGTTACCATACTTGTCTCTGGCATTTCCAAAATCTTCTCTGATCACAATTTTTCTTCCCTTCAGCTCGAAACGATGCATACACTCCAAACATTTCTTGACAGAATTAGGGTCCGAGAATTCTACAATGCCACATCCCTTGGCTTTATCGTTTTCATCAACAAACAACTCTACGAAGGCAACATCACCAACATGGTTTCTGAATAGATCCTTCAGATCTTGCCACCTATATTCATATGGAATGTTGCATACATAGATTCTATTGTTAGAAGATTTCATTCCACCACGATCCTTCCCCCTGTCAGGGCTGCGATCCCTGCTTGACTCTGAAAAACGAGTTGGCCTATCTCTGCGTGTCCTGTCACGATCTCTCGACCTGTCTCTGTTCTCCCTGTCCGAATTCCTAAAAGACATGAAACAATCTTTTAACATCTAATTTATCGCAAATAAACGATATACAAACATCAAAAGCTATGTTTGTATCTAAAGAAGTAATAGAACTTATACTAGAAGATTATAGTTAACTTTACAAGAAAAAACTTACATTTTAAATGGGGAAATTATGGGGCACTGAATATTATAAAACAAATTCACAAACTGCAAATGCTTCTAATCTCACAAACAGTCGATAATAAAAACAATATCGGTCTCTAAATAAAATGGCGGAAGATGTGGCGTCCCCTACAGTTACATTTACAAAATGTAAACCAATGTAAACTTTACTTGAGACATTTCAATTTCACATTTAAATTAATCCAATTATATAAAATTACTATTAAATTATTATTTGCCAATACAACTTAATGTGAAACACATTACCATTAACAGAAACTTCAAAATAATATGAGTACAATTGTATGGTGTATATTGGGTTTTAAAAATGATACTTCTGTTCTTTACTTGCATTATGTCATCAAGCAGCGGTAAATTGGAAAGTATTTTATTGCATTAATTAGTTTATTTTGTTATAACAACACATTAAAATTTATATTAAAGCTAAAAAGAATGAATAGACAAATGTTTGTGAACTAAAGTTCATTTCATCATTACGAGATGGCGATGTAATCCAATTGACTTTGTTGTTTTTAAACTTATATTGTTCTTATAAAATTGATGATAGGAATATAATATAAACAGAATACTTAGTGAAAATTATAAAATTACTACATATTCATTTAAATGTTCATAAATTACATGAATTATTGTATTGTATTTCATTGTTTTCATTTCATTAGTATTTAGTTATAGGTCTATTAGGGATTGACTTGTATATAGAAATAAAATCAATATAATATTGAAGTAATAACCATTGCGATACTTTCCAAGTAAAGCATATTTTTTTAGGATTTGAACTTAAATTTAACGTTATGATGGATCAGAATAAAAATTTCATTATTTAATACATATTTTTTAAAGATTTTTAATATAGCATTTTATTTATAATACATAACAAAGTTTATATATATATTTATATAGATATAAAGAATTAATTACCACTCTTAAAATCACACTGTATATAAATATACTAGAACATAACTTGTTACAAAAATATGTGTAATATTGAAATGATAAAAAAAAGGGGGAATAACATATTTATGGTTAAAAGCATTGAAAGGAGAAAACCATCATCGTAGATCACGAAAAAGAAATTAAAAGAAAAAAAAACAGAAAGAAGGAAACAAAAGAGTTTGGCAAAATTTTCTTGGAACACACGTTTCATCGTCGTCTTCATCACACCATAATCTAACGCCAATTATTACAGTAACTACGATAATGATAAAACTACTTGGATTCTTTTTATTTTTTCTTTCTCAACTTTATTCTTCCCTAAATATAATATATAATATAATTTACCTATTTCGCCTGGTTTCTTTTCACTAATTAGGTACAATTTTAATTAACTCTTTTTTTTCTCATCATTTGTTTCTTTACGTAAGATATGATCTTGTACAAACATGTATTAGTCTTCTTAAACACTATCACAAATTTTCGTTAACAATTTCACAAATTTCTCATTCCTCTATCTTTCTCTGTCTCTCTCTCTTACTATTCATTTCCCAAATTATAGGTAATTTTAACAGAATCGATCAAGCGAACTGAAATAACTTACAGATTATTATTATTATGAAATAAACAAAATAAATTGTATATATAATTTATATATATATATGTATAGATGTATCAGTCGATATCGTGTGCAAAATAGAATACGAGTCCATTTCTTCAAATCGTTTAGTTGTTAATATATCCGGTTTAGGTATTTTCTGGCGGACCTCTTCAAGATTGATGCTAAAATTAGAATGAAATTCAGTTCAATTATGATAGCTTGATGAGGCTCCGATTTCGTCGCTTACAAAGATTAACTATGAGCAAAAAATCAAGCGATAAAAATATTTCACTAAACATTTCGCTAAATCGTGTAAATATAATTTAACTAAAGCTTCTTTCGTATAGTATATAATTTACCATCATCATCATCCTTCGTTTCCCTCGAAAATATTTGCTTATTAATATTACGTAGAATGGAATACATTTTTTTCTTGTTACGAAACACCCATCATGCACAATCTCTATTATATTCTTACTCTTATTATATATTTCATATTTTTTTCGAAAATAGTTGTATTTCTAGAGATTTCTTGTATTATTATTTCTTTTTTTGTTTGTTTTTATAAAATACCTAAATTTATTATTTGCACTGTTCAGAGAGTATAGTATAGTAACACTTAGAGGAAGTCAATGGTTTTGAATGAAGGGCTCTAGGGAGGATGTGACGTGCCCTTTGTAGGGAATCTTAAACTGCTTGATGACGCGTGCCGCCAGACAACTGAGTCTTGTGTACTTGGCCGTATTCACTAACTCGTGCACTCGCTGTCCCGCTTCTAATAAACTAGTAAACGTATCACCATTGTTATTAACTAAGTCAATGTGAGCTCCTCGCTCGAGGAGAACTTGGGAGATCTTCGCGGGGCAAGGCCTCGCCATTCCCGCTAAATGCAGAGGTGTGTTTCCTTCCTCATCCCGAGCATTTGGATCCGCCCCAACTCTGAGCAACACCTCTGCTAAATGCGGGGATGGAAATTGGCAGGCCGGGTATCTTCCTACCAGTGAAGCCTCAACGCAACAGGCGAGATGAAGAGCTGTGCGGCCAAGCTTACTTCGAACCCTTAACTTCACCAAGGTGTAGATTGCTGAGTGTACCTTCTCTGACATCTCTTCAGTGCTTCGGGGATTGTCCAAGAGTCTGGTGAGTAGGCAGGCTAAATGCAGAGTGATAACGACAACGCGACTCAAGTAGGTCACATCTCGCTCGACATTGGGCATCCTCTCTAGCATCTGGTTTCCCATTTCCACTTCTTTGACCGCCTTGTAGAACACTTTCATCAGATCCTCGAAGTCCACTGGTGGTACGACGCGACCCCTCGTTGTCGGTTTTCCTTCCTCGCCCATCATGAACGAGAAGAGTTCGGTGAAACTGAACAGGCTGCTCTGCGTCATCGGATTCAAACGCTCCAACATCGACTGTTGCATGTCCAAAGCGTAGTTCCACAACTCTATGCAGCGATTGAATTTGCCGGCGTCCGCGTATACTGCTCCCCTATACCGGATGTAGTAACTGGTATCCGGATGGGCGGGTCCCAGGATGCGCTCCCTCATGACCAACGCCTGCATACGCATCTCGTCGGGATCGGCCATAAGGTCATCCAGTCCTTCCGGATCGGTTATTTCAACTGCGTAATCATAAGCTGCTACCTTTTTGGCCTTCTGCTTAACGATCGGCGGTCCAATTCCATGATATCTACCATCACAAACATCATTAAAACAAAAACTTTAAATACTCGATTAACTACGAAAACAAACCTCTCCTCCATGGCCCTTTTCCAGTAAACTAAAGCTCCAATCATATCGCGCTTCTTATCCACAAATGTTGCACCAAGCAATTCCAAAGCGTCGATCCTCTCCGACCTCTGCACTAAATGAGGAAGCTTTATTAGGTATTCCACTATGTGACTATGACCAGTAACGGCGGCTGCTAATAATGGAGTCATACCTGAAAAAAGTTCCCAATAAATAATCGATTGAAAATAAGCTAATCACAACTGTCAATACCATATGAATCAACGTCCATAGTTGCGCCATTCTCGATGAGCAACTTGAGGATCTCAAGGCTACCTGACTCTGCACAATCATGCAAAGCTGTATTACCCTTAACGCTCTTTCTATTCACGCTGGCACTCAAACTTAATAGATACTTGGCTATGCGAATGTGTCCTTTGTAACAAGCTATCATCAAGCATGTGTGTCCATGCCTGTTGGCAACTTCGATATCTGCAAATGAGTTACAAACATTAACGTTTCATTCAGACTATGTTTTCGTTGTGATCTAACCGGCCCCATTGCAGACCAAATATTTTACTATGTCTAAATGCCCATCGAAACAAGCAGCTCGCAAGGGCGTGGAGTTCGTCCTTGTTGTGCTGTTCACATGAGCCCCCTTTAATATCAGCAATTCGACGATGTTAAGGTGTCCCGCGGCGGCCGCACACCATAAAGGTGGCGCTCCTTCTATCGTCTCTCCATCGAATATAACTGGAAGTTATCAAAGAAAATACATTAATAAAAAAAAGCTCATTGATGAAAGTTTGAACAAAAATTCCTTACCAGAGCCTGGTTGCTCAATGTCCGCGTGACAACGAGTAATCAGGTATTCTGCAACATCGTAGTGCCCATTCCTGCATGCTATGACCAGGGGTGTTACACCGGAGGTTTTAGCCGCTACCAGCATGGAGACTTCATCTTTTCCTTTATTACTATGTAGATAAATCTGCAATAAAACAATATTTCGTTAATAAAATAATAATAGTATACAGTATTACAGAACAAGAAATCAATTAGAAGTACTCCAATCACAAAACTATTATGAATAACTTAATATTTAACACTTTATAGACTCAAAAATCTAAGACTATAATCTTAAACGAAAGGATAACTTTAGTTATCATCTTATCAAATCCCTCAAGGAACCATACTAGGTCCTATAATTCGAATCCAACAATAAAAAAACAACCAGATAACAAAATAAAGTTTCAAAGTTAATTTAATAGAACTTCAAAATCCATCTAGTTAATATAGTTACGAGTGCATCAAATCGCTCGAAAATGCGCTCCAAAATCAATGGTCATACACAATCTGCAATTCGTCGATAGATCAGATGCGAAACAACGTTTCAATTTCATGTGGTTAGTGTGTGTGTATGATTTATGGACGAGCTATTCATCCTTCCGTCGACCAACGGAACATTAATAAATCCGTACACACGGATGCAACTCTCTGACATGATATGGCATTTCAAGAACACGTATTCCATTTTCTATATTTTCTTTCCTGCACCTCGTGTCTATTTGCATGCCCCAACCGAATGAAAAATGTGTGTGTGAGCACGAAAAATATTGAAACTTCTCGGTTGAATGTGGAAAACATGCATATATTTGAACAGAGACTCATGTCCTTCACGAAAATAACGTTTCACCTAGTTTCCATGGTTGCTTTTCAAGTGCTATAAGCAACAAAATGTTATTGATTTATAACTGCCAGAGTATTTTGTGAATTATTAAGTACAACAGATTTATTGATTTACTTTGGTCTTCTTGAGTGAATATTTTTCTAGAATGATACTAAAGTACAGATATTATAGATATGATTTCAATTAATATAATCAACAATAAATTAATTTCAAAAACAACAAGAAAAAAATACAAATCTAGATATAAGAAATAAATTAACCAAACGAACATGAAATTCCAATATGTTTTATAAAATCTTATAAAGACCTTCAAAGGTTATGCTTTCTATCTAGATTTCATGGTGCATAAAGTAATACGTATAATTGACACATAGAAAACAATAAAATTTTACCTTCAAAAACTAGACTTCCTTGAAGGAATATGATAGAAATCATCTGATTATACCCAAAATAAATATCAGAGTGGGTCATTGATATCTCTCGATATAATTAAACTGCTTCAAGGAGATTCAAAATAGTTTAACAAAGAACATAATTATTATTTTTTGTAAATAACTAATATTTATTAAATTAACAAAAACTTTTCATTTACACAAACATTCTATTTTTCTTGTCTCTCTTTAATTACTATAGACAACTAAAACCAATAAACGAATGCTGATTTACAAAAAAAAATCAGTACTTTTGCAAAAATAATTGTATGACTTAACAATATTCAGTGTCTCCCGTTAAACTGTTTAATAAGCTAACACATTTCATTTACATCTTTTTATTACACTTACATAAACCTCAAAGACTAAGTTAATAATCACATTTCCTTATTGTCCTGAATGTAGGTTTGATGTTGAAATGAGCGTGTGCCTGTGGCACCATTTCTAACTAGTATCATATTCACTAATTAATTTTGAGAATTTAGTAATTATTTACAAATGTAGAGCAAAAAAAACATCTATACATTGTCTCATATGTCTAAACTGTATATCCTTGAAATGCGTTTCATTTAGAAATATTGCGTAGACGAGGAAAGAAATGTATTCTGGAACGAAATTATATTCTGGGACAAAAAAAACTTGACCACTTCTGTTCTTAATAATTTTAGAAGAATATTGTGCTTTATTACAGTTTTTATTGCACTAACGTAATAATGCAATGTGTTTCCTTATTATCAACTGAGTTAGATTGTGTCAAGCGTGTCAATTTTTTTATTAATTTGTTATAATTAAATTGTTTTTCTATGTTAGAAGATTATATTATGAAAAAAGTTGTGACACGAAACATTACTTTGACTAGTTCAGGTATAATCATTATTTTAATGCATAATACTTGTTTCAAATGAGGCATAAAACTAAGGCCACTTAAAAAAAACTACAAACTTAGGTATCAAATGCAAAGTTATGTAAGTTTTTAAAGTAATACTCGAAATACAATTTATTTAACCCATAAAAAATGCACAATAAAATCCACAAGATTCTTATTAAAATTGTCATAATTTAAAATTATGTTCAAATATTTTTATAGTTTTTGAAAGTTAAGCAACGGATGATGAAAATTGATAGAACTGGTCACATATTGAATTGAATCTTAACACTGAACATACCACACGCGGTCAAATCCACAAGATTCTTATTAAAATTGTCATAATTTTAAATTATGTGCACATATTTTTATAGTTTTTGAAAGTTAAGCAACGGATGATGAAAATTGATAGAACTGGTCACATATTGAATTGAATCTTAACACTAAACCTACCATACGCGGTCAAATGTGCGTTTTTGAAATACAGAAAATTCGAATTTTATGTATGCAACATTATTGTAAAATCCTGCAATTTATAAAGAAAATCTGCTAAAAACGCATAAATATAAATAAAACGATTTTAAACAATACGACTACTCACGGTAGAAATAGGTATACATGAAGTATCGGTATTTAGTGTTAAACATATTATTATTTTCAAACATAGAAAATTTCGAGTATGTCACAGTTAGATGTATATATTCTGAGAATACGTCGATTTGGGAAATAGCAAATTATAATACAAAAAAAAATACGTCTCTGAATGTATGTTGAATTACTGTACATTTGTTCCACTCTCTTTCGCGAGATTCCAACGTAATCTTCGTTTCACGCTCAAAAAAAGTAGTTGACTAAGCCAAGGTTACTGTTTACATTTATTATATAAAAATAATTAAAACCGATTTTAATTAATCGATTGCGAAATATAGCTTGTAACTGAATATATAAAATAACATGATTAAATACAACAACTTTGCTAAATTTGCATTTGCAAAAATCGTTCTTGAGATTATACATTTAGATGTCGTTGACGCATAAAAGAGAAGCGTGGAACTCGCAAAAAATTCCATCTCGTCGGTTCTTCCGGTTCAATAACACTTTAAGAAACGTAAAAAAATAATTAATTTCCGCGAATATATAACCTTTATATTCTGTTAATTGTTAAAAAAAACAATTTGTATGTTAAATTAAAAAAATAATAATAGTTCAAAATAGTTTGATGTTGGTTTTAAGTTAAATTATAGCAGGTTAATTAGCGAAAAATAAGTTTTTTTTTAGCTAATTTTAGTAATTATTTTTTTAACAATTTTCTTTGAACAAAAGTTAATTTTAGTAGTAAAGGATTGAAGTTTAATGAGGTTTATGTAAAATAATATAATTATAACTGGGTTACGAGAAAATGTGATAAATTCAATGCAGTACAAGGAGATAGGACAGAAAGCAGGAAACTGGACCGCAACTGTAGAACAACCCAGAACAATTGCCAACAAAGTTCGCCATATCACAATGACCAACTTGCGAACAACTGAACTGGTTTAATTTAATTATTGTTTTAATTGTTAGACGCAAATGGAATGAAATATGTACATGATTATATCAATTATGCAATGCGTTTTAGTACAGTGCTGGTTTGGAGGTTCTTCATTAGCTTCAGACAAAACATTTAGGATTTAAATTAAATAAACTGTCTTAGCTCTCAAACAAAAACTTTATAATTATAAAATGAAATAAGATTATTTGTAAATTACAATTTCAAATTTGAAAGAAAACAAAGAAAATGTGCTAAGATTTACTGAACAGTAAAAAATGAAACATAATGAAAATTCTACAAAATTTCCTATATCATATAAGAGATTTAGTGAAAAGATTTAACTCAATTAATTTGAAATGTAATTGAACAAACGGAATATTAAAAAAATAAATAAAATTTTTACATCATACTATTTATTTTTGTCTGTAATTATTTGATTAATTGCAAAATTGTTGCAATAAATATTGTAATTAATTTAAAATTTATATATGATGTATGTAACAGTAATTATTGGTAATATTTTACAATAATAATTATTGCAGAAATGAGTGAAATATTTCTTTAATAAGAAAGCAAAAAAAGTATTGCATAAGATATGCTTTAATTGCGTAAAATTACAACTTATTTATTTCATCACCTTCGTTTGGAAATTATTATAAATATATTTAGCATTCAAAAAAAAAATAAATGCTCACTCACTATATACAAATAATAGCAAAAGTAAATTTCCTATTAAATCCTATTTTTCACAATTAGACTATTATATTATTTTATCATTGAAAAACTCATTTCAACATGTAATCTATAAATTATAGCCTTTTATTAATATGTAATTTAATACATTTACATTTATTGATAATTAATTCGTTGTACTAAGAAAATCAAATACTTTTGAAATTCATACACGTCAATTTCATTTATATTTACGTCAGAAATATTGATAACCAGAAACGGATGTATAAATATTGTTTCTCGTTAATTCAATAGCCAAAAACATATAATATTCACGTCATTTTCAGTTGTCAGAAATATTTGTAGAAATTCTGTGAATTAAGCTATGTGTTTCATGTTATTCCTTTTTAATGAGCAACGCAAATAATATGAAATTTAATATAATTCTGTAAATAAATTTCAGAGATATTTGCGTTAGAAGTCAGTATTTGAAATAATCACCATCAACAAAAATGTCTAATTATTACACAAAGGAAATTACAAAATTTCCTAAATCAAAAATGTAGATTAATGCTCTGTTTTTAAAACCAATGCAAAATACATTTCAAAACATTCAAACTGCGAAAGTCTGGTTAATTAAACCGTGATTTCTTAAGTAAAGTTGCATTTTTTTTTAAATAATAACCAGACTGGAAGGCAAACACAAGAAATTAAACAAAAAAAAATTCTTGTGAAGAAGAAATAATTCTTCGTTTTTTTTTTTGCACGAGCCTACAAAGTTTAAAGAGAAGAAACAAATAAA